GACCAATCAATCCTCATAGCTTGAGTATAGATTATTGACTTACATTTATGAGATGCCTTCTGGAAACTCTCCTATCCCTCAACTCAGAAGTCTGACAACATGTGTAGAGAAAACCTGTGTCTAGAGCATGCATTGGCTCAGAGCAAAACACACCCAATATTGTCAAACAATTGGTTGTTGACAAAAATTCAACCTTTGTTTAATGGGGAAAATGTGGTTGGCAGGCAGAACCCGAGTCTTCGAAGGCATTTTTTTTATGGTGTATGTGTGTTTTATTTGCTTTTATTTCCACATGTATTAAACAGTCATCCTATCTCACCTTGGGCGATTGCAACCCTCTTCAGTAGGTAGATCCCTCCAGCCATCTTGGACCATTTCTATGCCACAGGCAATGTTTTCTTCTTCCCAAACTTTATTTTGAAGTAAGTTCAAGGAAATTCAAAACAGCAAGGTTGAATGGAAAAAATAAGTCTTTTGTTCAGCATGTACACTTTGAATTCTTTCAGAGAATATTGTACTTTCCTTTTATTACACTTTATTTTGGAGGTTTTTTTTTTTTTTTTTTTTTTTTTTTAACAGAGTCAGAAGAACCCTAAGTCAGGAGGCTGTCCATAGCTGAGTCTCATGGACAGATGGTCAGCTCAAACACATAACAAAGGGTCTGTTGTGATGTTGCCAATTCTATTTCATGAAATCTTTTTTGGTATAAACTGGAGAAAGCACTTTGTTCAGTTAAAGATTTTTTTTTCTTCCCTACCAGTTGTCTTTGCCAAGGTCAATGTTTCTATTACGTGGGGGAAGCATACCCGCCCCCTGGTGGCTGATTTACACATAGACATTTTTCTTTCCCAAGACCCATGAATCTCAGGAGCTAAAATGTCCTAGTGTGGTGAACATTAATTTAACAAACTTTTATTGAGCTCCTATTGTGTGCCAGGCAATGTACTAAGTGATTCAAGTTGGGAAACCCAAAGTCTTCCTCTGGGTCTTTTATATGGCAACCAACCATTCAAGCTGTTCACAGGTTGGCCACCTCATCTCCCGTGCTTCGTTTTCTCAACAATGAGCTGTATTATATCTGCATTACTCATCCCAAAGCATAGTATCAAAGATACAAAATGATAAAATAACAGCAAGTGTGATCATATGTTGTAAATTAGATGAGGTCACTCCAGTGCTTAAAATAATTTAATGTCTTCCGATTGCCCTTAAAATAAAATCCAACCTCTTTTTATGGACTAAAAGACCCAGCATAATCTATGCACTGCCTCCTTGTCAACCTCATGCCACACCATTCTCCCCATGGAGAATCTCACCCCTTCATACAGGTCAACTGTCATTTTCTTGAAAGTGCAATTTCCCCCGCAAGGCCCGTATATGTACTTTCTCCTCCCCTTTATAAGCGTCTTCCTACTCTTCACCTACCTCTTATTTATCTTCTTTCTGAAGGCCACCTTCTCAGGAATTTCTAAGTACTAGTTCTAAAAATAATTCACTTTATTATGTTATTTCTTAGAATCTTATTTTCCTTCATAAGTCTTATCCTATAGCAAGTATGTATTTATTTAAATTACTGTTTTTGACCATCTTCTCCACTAAAGTGAAAGTTCCATGAGGACATGTACCATAACTGTTTAATTCACTACAGTCTATCTTGCACCTGTAAGTAGCATCAATTGGAATTTGGGGAATGAATAAATAAATGAAACCTGTGGAATGTTATAGAAATGTGAATTTATTATATATAAATAATATGAAATATAGAAAAAGAGTAGGAAAAGCAGTTGAAGAAAGAGAAGATTGGTGCATTTAATATGTATTATTGAAATATGAACTTTTAAAGTTACTTTAATTACTCAGTTATATAATTTATATGTTATGGCTGCTTAATTAAATAGAATTTAGAATGGTATAACCTAAGCTAAGTTTGCAGGTGACAAAACTGGTGTCTAAAGACATGAAGTGATATATATAAGGTTATACAGAAGCAGTAACAAGACTAGACTATATGTCTGTGATTCCTGACCTGGAGTTCTTTTGACTACATTGTGTTTATTTTTGTTCAACATTATTGTTATGAGACCTCATTTCTTAAGTCTTTATAGACTTATTAAACTTTTGTATTCTATTAAAGTTAGACTAGAGCATCTATAAACAAATTGCTTAATAATTATTGAGCATCTTCCATCCTGATGTCCTGGAACTAAAATACATATATATCTTAACTCGACTGCCTTATCCCTTCTCCTCCTTCTCCTTCTCCTTCCCTTCTCCTTCCCTTCTCCTTCCTTCCTTCCTTCCTTCCTTCCTTCCTTCCTTCCTTCCTTCCTTCCTTCCTTCCTTCCCTCCCTACCTGTTCCCTTCTATTTTACTATTTCCTTTTTGGGAGCATTTTGTCACCCTTTGTGCTCCAAGGGTACTTTCTGTCTGGAAACTCATTTCCTCCATTATGGGAAATTTTCTTGAATTATTTCTTTTATAATTTTTCCCTCCATTTCCCATTTTTATTTTTCTGTACTTCTGCTTTTCTTTCATTTCTGCTCCAATAACTGTAATTAACAATAGCCTTTTGATGATATTTGAGTATTTCTTTTTATAACAAACTGTTCTTATTTCAAAGCCACAGTACCTTGTCTTAACTTTTTGAGGAAATGAATGGTACTATTTTTGAAATTATTTTTTCTTTGCATTTTTTTCGTCTTTCTGTTTCTTTTCCCTCATTAGTATGTTTAAATCACTGTCTTTCTTGCTGAGGTTTTCCTGAAAGATCTGGTGATTCTTGGATGTCCATTCTTATTTAAGAGAGAATAGAGTTGCCAGACAAGATAAGGAACACTCATTTGAATCTGAATTTCAGATAAACAATGAATACATTTTTAATATGTCCCGAAGACCACATTTTTATTTGCTAAATCTGGCAACCCCAAGAGAGGGGCAGGAAGCAGCTGAAGAAATGTCTGTGTGCATGGATAGGACTTGTTGACTACTGGGTGTTACTAAGGTGATCTGGCTAAGTTGTTTCACTAGAGGATGCCTAACCATTAGCATCTTTAGGTGTTTACTGAGTACCCAGGACAGAATCATTCAGTCTTTAGCTCAAGGGCTAAAAATTGGGCTGTCAGTGTTCTGGGAGCCAAAGTAGACCAGGAGGTTGGGGTTCTCACCATTCAGAATGTACTGTTTTAGTAACTCTCCTTGTTTTCAGTGGGGGTGCTCCTGCCCTGAGTAGTGCCTGCCATCTCTTGTCTAGATCTTTCTGAAACATGTTCTCCAGAGAGTAAGTCTTCAGTCTCCTGCCAGGAGGGTGAAGAAACTGATACGCAAACAGACTATTAACAATTCTATGTCTGCCTCAACTGCATCCCCACTTTCACATGTACTTCTTGCTGCCAATTCCTGAGCCTTTCCAGGGTTTTGCAATGCAAATCAGGTTGCTTCTGGGTTTTGTCTGGTCAACTTAAATTTCAGCTTTCATGGTTCGGCTAAGCCAGTTACCCCTCTACCATCTGCTTTCTATCTTCCAAAATGTTGTTGTTGTTGTTTTCCTCCTAATTCTTTTTTTCTTTATGAGTGAATGTCTTTAAAATCAGTCCCTTTATTGTCTTTTTAGAGAGCTTGGGGGATGGAATGTAATGTAAAGCATATGTTAAATCTTCCATCTGCAACTAGAAGCACAGCCATGAATTTTCAAAGTGACTACAGAAGAGTCATTTAATTTCTCTTTTCTCAATTTTCTTTTGTAAAATGAGATGACTAAGGGAGATGAGCTTTGATAAACCCCACTCAAAAATTTTATGATTGTATAATCTCCTGCACTATTAACTGAAACCTTCCAAACAAATTATGTTTTCAGTCTTTTAAGGGAGAGACAAAGCCATGGTCTACATTTTCATCAATATTAAGACTTCTCACCACCACTTGCCACAACAGGACCTTCAGCAAGGACTTCTCTGAAGCTTGTTTTCTCTCCAAATGGGGAACTAATATGAACTTCCATTAATATAAATTTCCATCATAAGCCTGCTGTGATTAGCAGATGAGTTAACCCATCAGAAAGTACTTCACATATGGACACTTGCTATGCAAATATTAATTGATGTAGTTGTTCTTTGGAGTATGCACCTTCTCAGCACAATAATTCTTGGTCTTTTTAAAGTCTTCTGCCTGGGGAATCATAGTATTTACCTTAAATCACATAGACTTATTATAATTAGAGTTACTAGTCCCTGCAGGTTACCAGTGAATCTTCTTTCTAGAAAGCACTGAGGCCTCAAAGACATTAGTAATACTATTAAAGGAGTTGCTCTTAATTGAAAAACACTAATGTATCGGATAATCTGCTAAATGCTTTATATACATTTCCTCTAATCTTTACAAACATCCTGCTAGGTAAGTCATCTTTAACCCATTTTACAGATGAGGATATTGAGGCTCATAGAAGTTAAGTGATTTGGTCAAGTTCACTCACTCAGCAAATAGTAGAGTTGGGATTTAAACCAGGTCTTTCTGGCACCAAAACCCATGTATACTTTTTGCATTTATGCCATAATGCTTTCTTAACCCTTTAAAAAGCACTAATATCACTTACAACATTGAAACCAGAATGAGCTTGGTGTGATTAGCAATCCTTTGGTTTGTTTATGGTATTCAATTCTGACATTCCCAAAAGAGATTGAGTTCTGTCAGCGTCTGTTGGTCACAACTCTACTAAGGCCCCTTCTTTGCTCCTGTTGTTGTTCTCCTTTAAATACCATTTCTCCCTTTCTCTGTCCAGTGACTGTCTACACATCCTGTGGGGCTCCATCAGGGTACAATTTCTGTTTTGTTTGTAAGAAACGGTCTTGCTCTGTTGCCCAGGCTAGAGTACAATGGCATGATTATGATTTACTGCCATCTCTACTTCCTGGGCTCTAGCAATCCTCCTGCCTCCGTCTCTCTAGTAGCTGGCACTTACAAGCATGTGCCACCATGCATGGCTAATTTTTTGGGTTTTTTTGTAGAAATGAAGTCTTGCTATATTACCCAAACTGGTCTCAAACTCTTGGCCTCTGGAAATCCTCCAACCTCAGCCTCCCAAGGTGCTGGAATTACAGGTAATAACCACTGTGCCCAGTTAAGGTGCAACTTCTTTGTGGAGCTTTTCTTTACTTCTCCAAGCAAAATTAGTTGCTCCCTTCTCTATGTTCTCTGTACATTTTAGTTCATATCATATAAAATTGCCTCTATGTAACCATATTTGACCTACAAATGTGGCAATTTTATATCATTTAGCCAAATATCTCCTTATCCCATTGTATTACATTTTGGGATGGCATGTGTCTATCCCCTCTCCATTCTACCCCTCTAGAATATAAGTTCCAAGACAGTTAACAATAAGAGCTGATTTTCTGTGTGCTTCCTAGGGGGCCAGGACTGTCCTACACACTTTAAGTAAATTAAATCTTTTAATTCTTAGAGCAACTGTGTAATGATGATACTTTTATATGCATAGTACCACTATATAAGTGAGGAAGCTGAGGCACACAGAAGCTGTATTTGTCAAGGTTCTCCAGAGGGACAGAACTAATAGGATATATGTCTATACGAAAGGGAGTTTATTAGGGAGAATTGGCTCACAGGTAAAGGTGAAGTTCCACACAATAGCCACCTGCAAGCTGAGGAAGAAAGAAGCCAATAGTGGCTCAGTCTGAGTTTACAAACCTCAAAAGCAGGAAAGCCTACAGTGCAACCTTCAATCCGTGGCAAGGACTGAGAGCCCCAGCAAACCACTAGTGTAAGTAGTCCAAGGGTCCAAAGGTCAAAAATCCTGGAGTCTGATGTCCAAGAGCAGGAGGAACAGATGGAAGCATCCAGCATGGGAGAAAGATGAAAGCCAGAAGACCCAGCAAGACAGATTATCCCATCTCCTTGCACCTGCTTTGTTCTAGCCATGCTGGCAGCCGACTGAGTGGTGCCCACTCACATTGAGGGTGGGTCCAGTCAACTGACTCACATGTCAATCTCCTCTGGCAACATTCTCACAGACACACCCAGAAACAACACCTTACCAGCTGTCTAGACATCCTGCAATCCAATCAAGTTGACACCCCGTATTAATCATCACAGAAGCTAAATAACTTGCCCGGCCTCACAAAACTTGACAGAGCTTGGATTTGAGCCTAGGTTATCTGTCTTTAAGATCCAGAGTCTTACCATTTCTCTAAAATCCTTCTATTACTATTCTGTCTGGTTGTGTTTTATTCACCACTGTATTCCCAGGGCTAGCACAAGGCTAGGTAGGGGCCTACTAGGTACTTAGTAAAGAGATGAATTAAAGAATTTTGTACCAGTCACATTTACTGAGCACCTACTCTGTGCTCCCAGATGTTGTGGTGGTAGGCACCAAGAAAAATAAGGCCCAGTCCCCGCCTTTATGGAGATGGTGGCCAAGCAGGGGCCCCTGGAAACAGTGTTGCACTTACATTGAGGAGGCTGAAAGTCAGAGGTGAGGTTTTAGGAGAACTATGGATGGCCTGTTGTGCACCTGGAGATAGAAGAGGTGATGGAGAAGTCCTGAGAAAGGGAAGGGTAGAATTATCCACGTGAAGGAGGGTCCAGGTTCAGTGCAGATGTGTTCCAGACAGATGGAGCAGCTTATGCAAAGGCCCTGAGTTGGGGCAGGGTGCGGGGAGAATGGCAAAGCAGGGCTGCGAGCTCAGAGAATGTAGGACTGGGGGCCCTGGGTCATAGGGCCTAGATTCTGTATCATTTATCTCCTTAGTGATTTTGGGTAGATTTCTTACCTCCTTATGCCTCAGTTTCCTCTTTCTGTAAAATGGATATAATAACAGTAACTATCTGGTGAGATTCAAAGGAAGAATTGCCTTAGTTATACTCATAAAGTATACAGAATAGTGTCTGGTTCATAGAAAATGCTCAAACATAATTCTTAAGGAGTTAAATTTCCTGAGTGTGTAGAAGTTCATCAAAGAAAATATTTGCTTCAGGAGAGTTAGAAATTTGTGATTAGGGCTTCTGTATTAGTCCGTTCTCCCACTGCTATAAAGAAACACCAGAGACTGGGTAATTTATAAGGAAAGAGGTTTAATTGGCTCACAATTCTGCAGGCTGTACAGGAAACATAGTGGCTTCTGTTTCTGGGGAGGCCTCAGAAAGCTTACAATCATGGCAGAAGTCAAAGGGGAGCAAGGCGTCTTACTTGTCAGGAGCAGGAGAAGAGAGAGGGAGCGGGGTGGTGCTGCACACTTTTCAACAACCAGATCTTACGAGAACTCACTCATTGTCACATGGACAGTACCAAGAAGATGCTGCTAAACCATTCATGAAAAGTCTGCCCCCATGATCTAATCACCTCCTACCAGCCCCCACCTCCAACATTAGGGATTACAATTTGGTGGGGACAAAGACCCAAACCACATCAGCTTCAAACTGGGCTCTCATAATTATAAAGTAGTTAGAATAATAGCCATCATGTATTGTGTGCGTAATAGGTATTCTATGGCATGCTAACCTCAAAACAACCTTGGGAAGAAGGTACTACTGTCCCCATTTTATACATGAGTATGTTGAGGCACAGGGAGGTTAAATCATAGTTTCACATTAACAAATACACAGAAGACAGGTTTTAAATCAGGCATTGGCTTTCTGAGTCCTTGTGCTGAGCCACTTTGCCATGATGATTTTCTGGTTTGCAGTTTTAAAATGAGAGTTAGGTTGGATGCAGTGGCTCATGCCTGTAATCCCCAGTGGTTTCGGAGGCCAATGTGGGAAGATTACCTTGAGTCCAGGAGTTTGAAACCAGCCTGAGCAACAGCACAATCCAGCCTTTAAAATTACAAAAAAATTTTAAAAATTAGCTGGGTGTGATGATGGTCACTGCCATAGTGATGATTAGTTGGGCCCGGAGTTCAAGGCTGCAATGAGCTACATAGTGCCACTGCACTCCAGCCTGGGAAACAGAGCAAGACCCTGTCTCTAAAATAAATAGATATATAAATAAACAAACCAATAAAATCAGAGTGAGATGGCAGGGTCCTAAATCAGTCTTGGTTTAATGGGGCTATTTGAAAAGAAATAAACAAAAAAAGTACAAAGGAATGAATAAATGCTCTTATGACATATTCTTGTTGGTTTCCATCACTTCGGGCTTCTTTCAATTGATTGATTATAACTCCATTCCCTTGGGAAAAATCAGGAAGAGTTTACATGGAGCTACAGGTCACTTCTTTGGGCCAAATGTTTAAGAAATAATCAGTGGAGTTTTCTTCCTTCTTTGTTTTTCATCTTCTCTTAAAATTTTAAACTAAGCAAAAGATTTCATCTAAGTTTTCAGACTGATGTCTTCAAAATAAAATATTTTAAGAGGAAAAAACCCATAAACATGTCAGAATTATGCATAATTTTAGAACGGAAGCAGTAGGGTGCAGTGTTAGAACTGAAGATTTTAGAAGCCCAGAGTGTTAAGCCTGTATGAGACTTTAAAGATCATCCGGTAATGAAAGAGTTAAGGTAAAGTACCTGCTCTTGAAACTTGTGACCTTGGATAAGTTATTTAACTTATCTGAACACCAGATTCCTGTCTCTTAAGTGGGGATAATAATAATACTTGCCACGAAGGTTATGACATGAAGAGTAAATGCGTTCATTCATGAAAACCGCTTCCTACGATGCCTGGAAGTCAGTGTGCAAAGTTACTTTCTTGAGGTCATCTACGTAGTTAATGTCAGAAAACTGAATTTTCACTCCTAATCCTGTTTTCCAGGCAAGTATTTTTTTTAAACAGCAGATTATTATGAACATTCTCAACATAATTGATATTTGAGTTTCATTGTGTGTGTTTGCTTCTAGTAACTAGATCGATTCATGTTTGTTTTCTGTTCTTTTTCTCTTCTGATATTATGATATTAATTCTATATATAGACAGTCTTTTCATAAATTTCTGAGCAATAATATGAGTCCTAGGCTAAAGCCAGACAGCTGAATTTATGGTGTGTATCCTTTAAAAATTATTGTTATCTCAAACAACTTTACAGGAAAAAAACACATCAATTGATGTTAAATCTCAAATATGTGTTTGTTTTTAGCTGAAAATTCCAAGCAGAATTACCTAAGTATTGAAAATCTTCAGAAAGAGCTGTAAGTTGATGGGTATCTCAGTTACGCTGATTTGATCTTTACCCACTATATAAATGTCTCAAATTATCACGTTTCCCCCCAAATATGTATACATATTATGTATGAATAAAAATAATTAAAAAAGAAAAAAAGAAATAGCTTTAGTTATTATTAGTTAGTATTAGACAGTGGCAACAAGGCAAGAAATTTAAATATGATCTAATTGCAAGACTTAACATCTAGAAACCTTTTATTTTCTGAAATTAAACCAAGATATAAAGACATAGAATCAAGTTATCTAGAATGTGCAGAGTCAGAAATGGAGGGCATCTTGTCTCTAGTTCATTTTATATTTTTAGGCAGTGGTTAATCAGTGAAATTTTGTCATGAGTTGGGGAGATCTCACCATTTCTCTTATCATTTTCTTCTAGCCATGCTTCACCAAGGGGTTTAGGGGGGGAGATTCACAGTGGAGGGAATAAGGATTAGGACCTAACTGTATTCTGAGAAAAAGTATGTAATTCAAAGAGGTCATCAGGAAATCATTTCCCAAAGAGGGCACTTGTCTTTGAAGTCCGTTCTCACTCCTGATCTAACAAAGCCCTAGTTCATTGAACCTCAAAGGATGATCTTAAGCAGCTGGTTTGGGCTGGCCAGCTTTGATGGCTGGGGCATTTGAACTGCAGGGGTTGGAGGTATCCAGGGGTAGGGGGGTGGTTAAAATGGTTTATTTCCATTTAATTGTTTGTATTATCTGTTCAGGATTCCTCTTAAGGAAAAATGGACTTCATCCTGTGGGAAATGAACATCTCATAATGAGTATTATGGAGACTTAGACAAAATAAAATCACTTTTAAGAGCCCAATTTGATGTTCTGGTAAATTAGTTCATCTAATCACTTGGTGCTTCTGTGATGGATTTAGTGTGCAAGGGATATCTGCACTTTCACATCCCTGTCCCTTTAAGTTCCTGCAATCTGGAAGGCCCCTTCACAGATTTCTGCACTTTCTTCAAAGATTCCCCAATAACCTTCCCAAATCACTTACCTTCAAAATTCAAAGGACAGGATTTTACATTCCTTTGGTGTCCTGGGAGAGGGGCAGAGGG